GTGCCCAGAGCGCCGAACAACACTGCCACTAAGCGAGCGAGGCAGCGACAAAATCAATCAAGAATCAACTAGTTCCCAACAGTCGAATAAATATTCGTATTTACTTGCGTTGTGAAATCGTCTAAAAATCATTCCGATCTTTACACAGTAAGCTGAAATCACAAGTATGTGTATACGCATATTCATGTTCAAAATGTAATAACCTCAAAATGTAATAACCGGAATTCTGTAACCTTTTAACGACGATATCGTTATTATGTCGTTATCGCGTTACAGAATCACAGCTCTGTTCCCTGAATTTGCTGTACTAAAAAGATTATACAAATCAATTCCTCGTTACAGGATCACGTTTTGCACAGTATTTATTATCTAACAACCAAAAATGAATAGCAAAAACATAACATCCAATGACGAAAGTGAGAGCATTCTTACACCGTCAGAGATCACAAAAATTGCCAAAGAAACAACTGCAAATTTGTTACCGAATAAGTCCAGGGAAAAATATACAAATACATATGACAAATTTATGAATTGGAGATCAGAAAAAAATATAAAATCACTGTCTGAAAATGTAATTTTGGCATATTTCACAGAATTGTCACACACTCATAAACCATCAAGCTTGTGGGCAACTTACTCGATGCTGAAAAGCACCTTGAATGTTAACAATAATGTTAATATACATAATTACCCGAAACTTGTTTCATTTCTTAAAAAACAAGCCCAAGGATTCAAAAGTAGAAAATCCAAAACACTGACAGCGGAAGAAATTAAAAAATTTCTCGATGAGGCACCAGACAATAAATACTTGGATTTAAAGGTAAACATTACAAATATAAAAATAAATGTTTATATTGTATAAAAAATTTCATACATTATTTACATATATGATCAATTATTTACAGACAGCTTTGATTTTTGGGATTTGTGGTGCTTGTAGAAGAGAAGAGCTCACCAAAGTAACAATTGATAACATTCAGGACAAAGACAATGTATTATTAGTGAAAATTCCAATAACAAAAACTTATAAACCGAGATCTTTTGTAATATCCGATAAATTTTATACTATTTGTAAAAAATACATGGCTTTGAGGCCAGCAAACATTCAAACTTCCAGATTCTTCTTAAATTATCAGAATGGAAAATGTACCCAACAACCAATAGGAATCAATAAATTTGGGAAAATGCCAAGTACGATAGCATCGTATCTAGGATTATCAGATCCTTCTTCTTATACCGGCCACACTTTTCGTCGCACTTCTGCCACAATATTGGCAGACTCTGGTGCTAATATTTTAACGTTAAAGCAACATGGTGGATGGAAATCTAGTACAGTTGCCGAAGGATACATTGACGATTCTTTCAACAATAAAAAGAAAATTTCTAACCAAATTATAGGTTCAATAATCGATACACGAAATACTTCAACACTACAAACAGACTCGACATTCAACTACAACAAGCCATCAACATCAAAAACTTACATTGGAGAAAA